CCTCTCAAGATCTTGGGCACACATGCACCGCCCGGCATGAGTTTTAAGTCACCAGATCCAGAACTCTAACCATGGTTGACTATGTGGGAGTCCAATGACATAACCATTATTCCATCTGCTGGTCACATAGCAACACATTTGCAATTGTCACCCAAATGCCCACCAATGGTAGAACAGATAAGTCAAATATATTTCCACAATGGAATACTTTGAAATGAAACCTGAATAATTGATCTACAACCATACACATCATATGGAAGATTCTCCCAAATGTAACGATGAAGGAAAAGTGCTAGAGCCTAAAACAACATGCATGAATGTTGTTATGTTTATACAAAATATTAAAAAACAAGCAAAACTAATCCATATCTGTTACTTTGGGGGTGGCAGTAATTTGAAGGGTGCATGATAAGAGTTCCAGGGTACTGATATTCTATTTCTTGACTTGGTTGCTGGTTATACAGGTATGTTCAGTTTGTCAAAATTCATCATGCAATACACTTATAAAACGTGTGCTTTGCTGTATGAATTAAGTCATCAGGAAAGCCATGATGTCTTTTTCTGTTTTACTATACAAAAGTGTGCCATGACTTCCTGACCACCCAATATAATATAATAAAATGTTAAGCTAAAAATCTGCAGTGTATACATGAGAGTATCGTCTTAAAATTATTTGTGAAAACAATGCCATTCTGGAATGTGATCTTTGACTTGATCTAATCTGATATAAAATAAAATCTTACATTAATTTTTTAGTGCAACCTGCAACTTTATGTTCTTAGGACACACATGCGGTGCTAGCCTCAGGCTCTGAGATGTAATGGATAAAAGGAAAAACTGGGAAAGTACCAAACTTTCCCTAAAATAAACCTTATGGCAATGAAGCCTGCGAAGCTATGCTATGAAGTCATTTGTGAGGAAATGCAGAAATCTGCTAGCATAAAAATAAGTGGTTAAGGGGCCAGCAGGAGAAATGGAGGTTAAGGCGCTGAACCCCCACATGGCCCAAAACTAAGCTCTGAATAAATGTACATAGTAATAAAAGATGCTAACAATGGGGGAAATTGGACAGGAGGTATATAGGAACTGCCTTTGTAGCTTTTCTATGAATCTAACATTATTCTAAACTAGAACTTTACACGCACACACACACAAATATTTATGAAATATGTTTTATGTGTGCATACCACACACAGACACATGCACATGGCCTTGAAAAAGTTCATAGAAATGCATATTATGAAAAAACTATGCATGGATTTCTAATTATTTTTGCACCAAAATAAACTTGTGCTTTCATTCTAGTTTTCTATGAACTGTTGGAAACCTTCTCATATAAAGTAACATATAAAATTACTAAATAGAAATAAGCTCTAATGCCTAGGTTAAGTATCTAAAACTAAGGTATCATGAACTTTCCACCCAATTCTGTTCAGTCCCTAAGAAGTGAGGTCTGTTAAATACTATCTTTTCAATTGGGATACATATTTTCCTTTCCTCTCAATTACTGAGGGAAATTTCAATCATACTAATGTTTAATATATTTAAGGTTGTCCACGCAGTGGAAAAAAAAGACTCACATTTGTCTATTTTATTTATTTATTTGGCCTGTAAATGAGTCCTCAACAAAAAACATGTGTATGTTCTATAAAAAAAAAATAAGTATTTGTTCTAATTTCTTGGCATGGGCAAGATGACCTCTTTTTCAAAGCTCTTTAGAGTCAGAGGACAGCCTTATCACACTCTCCCAGTTGTGTTAATAAACAAATCATAAGATTGAAGCTCCTTGACATTGTCTGTTTGATTTGCACAGCACTGGCCAGAAAGAATTTAATTCCTTACTTTATTTTCCAGGAATGTCCTAAATTTAACTATTCCCCACCTCATAGAAGAACATATTCATCCCAAGTAATTTATAACCTCACTGGGCACCGCTTGGAAAATTATCTTATATCAACTGCAAATGCGTTTGTTCAAAAAAGGTAAAATACCCCATTTATAAAATAGTTCATTGCTTTCTAATTTTAATGATAACTGCCTTCTAAACTTGAGTTCATAGAGACAATAGATGTGAATTTCTATTGATAATTTATATAGCTAAATTCTCAGTTTCATTGGAACAGGTTTATGAATTGAAAAAGTAATGACTGTAAATTAAGATTCATTAAACACATTAAAACATGTTGAGGATTTTAGGCCTTGAAAATGTATTATTAAATTCATACATATTTTTTCTTGAAGCAAAAGGGAAGCTATTGACTAGGGTATACAAATTCGAACAGATTTTCTGGGTTTTTTTTTTTTTTTTAGTTTTTGCTATAAGGCTCATGTGTTTTCCAAAGAGAGAGAGAGCAAGAAAGAAAGAAATCACACACACACACACACACCCGCAGGGGTTGGCCACATCACAATCTTTTCTCCTCCAGTTTCCTCTTGGGATTTTGGACATGCACACACACTCGACTGGTCTGATTTTCAAACTGCGAGGTCTGGGACTCAAAGCTCACAGTCGACCATATGGCGTCCAGTGCCTTAACCACCATTCAATCTGCTGGACCCCCAATTTGAACAGCTTTAAGATATGGCTTTGGTGACAACTGACCTTAATTCCAACCAGAATATATCAAAACTTAGAGTGTGGGGCAAGCAGGTGGTTGTGGTGAAGGCACTGGATGCCCACACGACCCGCCACAGCTCAAGCTCTGGACTCAGAAGTCTGCAAACCACACCACTCGTGTGTGTGTGTGTGTGTGTGTGTGTGTGTGTGTGCCCATAATACTGAGAAGAGAAGAAATTGAGGCATGGCCACTCCCCTTGGAGGTGATTTCTCACTTTTCATCTCTCTGTCTCTCTCTGACTCTCTCCAACAAGTGTGCACACCCTATGGCAAAAACCTAATAAAGAGGGACCAGCAGTTAACGTAATGGCTATGTCACTGGACTCCCATGTAGTTGACTGCAGTTCGAGTCCCAGACCCAGTGGCTTAAACTCACATTGGGCGTGTGTGCGTGTGTGCCCAAGATCCCAAGAGGAGAATGGAGGAGAAGGGATTGTGGTGTGGCCATACCCCCTGGGGGGTGATTTCTCACTTTCTGTCTCTCTGTCTCTCTCTGGTGAGTGCACACGCCCTATAACAAAAACCTCTCAAAAAAAAAAAAAAAACCTAATAAAGAAAGAAAGGAAAAGAAAACAGTGTGGTATCTGCATGCAGATAAAATGTGTGTATATGGAGGCCTGCATGGGGGGCATGGTGGTTAGGGATGCTGGACTCCCACATGGACGACCACAGTTCAAATCCTGGGCCTGGCGACTTGCTTTCTCACTTTCTCTCTCTCTTTCTCTCTCTCTCTCTCTCTCTGTCTCTCTCGTCAAATTAAAATAAATAAATAAAGTTAAATAAAATCATTCTTTGAAAAAATAAATGTGTGTATGTGTGGCAGGGTTGTGGGCTTGTCCCTAAACCACTTAAGTATGTCCCCACACTAAAGCTGGTTGGCTTACGATTGCTACCATATTCTCTCTTCCTCCATCATGTCCTCCTTCATTTCTCAGTGTACAAAAGTGATTGAGGTTCACTGTAAAATAGCTAGAAACTACAAATAAGCAAAAGAAAATGAATAAATGTGTGTATGTGTGGCAGGGTTGTGGGCTTGTCCCTAAACCACTTAAGTATGTCCCCACACTAAAGCTGGTTGGCTTACGATTGCTACCATATTCTCTCTTCCTCCATCATGTCCTCCTTCATTTCTCAGTGTACAAAAGTGATTGAGGTTCACTGTAAAATAGCTAGAAACTACAAATAAGCAAAAGAAAATGAAAAGAGGGAACCAGCAGTTAGCGTAATGGCTATGTGGCTGGACTCCCACCTAGTCGACCGCAGTTCGCATCCTGGACCCAGTGGCTTAGAACTCACGCCGGGCGCGTGTTCATGTGTGCCCAAGATCCCGAGAGGAGAATGGAGGAGAAGGGATTGCGGCATGGCCATCCCCCCTGGGGGGTTTCTGTCTCTATGTCTCTCTCTGTCTGTCTGGCAAGCGCACGCGCCCTATAGCAAAAAAACTCTCAAAAAAAAGAAAAAGAAAAAAGAAAATGAAAAGAAAGAAAAAAATATTATTTCCTCATGCAGATATAACCACTGTTGATACTGAGTTGTCAGAAAAGTCATGATGTATTTTTTATGTTTTTTCTATGCAAAAATATGTCATGACTTTTCTGGCAACCCAATATTTCGATGCACATCCTCCAAGATGCTTTCCAGTCTCAGGTGTATATATAAATATTTTCAACAAAATTGGCTTATCATGCACTGTTCTGAAACCTACTTTTTTTTGGGGGGGGGTGGAGGGGGTTTCGCTATAGGGTGTGTGCGCTC